CTAACTTGGACTAACCATTAATAAAACTTCCCTAAACTCTCCACCCACTAGTAGAGGCGAAAGCCTGGTATARTAAACGGCATAGCCATCCCCCCAATGCAAAGCAAAGAAGTATGGAATTAAGGTATTTAGTCTTGTAGATGCTAAAATGAGTTACACATACAATTTAGAAGTATATGTTGGAAAACAGCCACCAGGGTCATTCGACATCAGTAATAAACCAGAGGACGTGGTAAAAAGATTATGTGAACCAGTGTTTGGAACAAACAGAAATATAACTTTAGATAACTGGTTTACTAGTTATAACTTGGTACAGACAATGCTAAGATTACATAAATTGACAACCGTTGGCACTATAAGAAAAAATAAGAGGGAATTGCCTACATCATTTGTTACAACTAAAAATAAACCCGTGTATTCTAGTACATTTGGATTCCAAGAAAACTGCACTATAGTATCATATATTCCTAAAAATAATAAAGTTGTTATCTTGATTTCTAGTTTACATAATGATGACAAAATCGACCCAGAATCTGGCGAAAGAAATAAACCAGAAATAATAACATTTTATAATAGTACGAAAGGGGGAGTTGATAACGTGGATCGAACTGGACTACCGACTACTCAGTTGCAAGAAATACTAATCGCTGGCCACTAACAATGTTTTTTTATATATTGAATATTTCATCAATAAATGGTGGCATTATTCATAACGCAAATAACAAAATAAATATGGCAAGACGAGCTTACATAAAAAACCTATCTCTGTCATTAGTAAAAGAAAGTTTAGTACAGAGGGCTCATAATAAACATTTGCCAACACTATTAAGGCAGTCAGCAAAACGTCTAAGTGGAATTAAAGAATGTACGCAGGTACCGAATAGAGGAAAACGAGGAAGGTGCYATTATTGCAAAAGTGACAGCAAAACACAATACTATTGTGAAGACTGCCAGAAATGGTTATGTATAAAACACGCAAAATTCGTTTGCGAAGAGTGTTATTCAGAGGTAC